TCGAGTACCTCGACTATCAGATACCCGTTACTCAGCTAAAGGGACAAAAGGGAAATGGAGATATGCAAGCAGCAAAGCGAGACTGAAATGTGCCACCCATGGTTATGTGGGCGGTAGACAGATTTAAGCGTTATCGTCAATCGATAGGTATTGACGAGTCTAATACATTTCTGTTAAAAATTTTTTAGCTAGCATGAAAATTGTGGGTGCCACAGATTTGGGCGGTTTGTGGGCGTTAAAGTGGGCGTGGCATATTTCCGGAAGAAACTTGCGCTGCGCTCAAGGCTACGGAATTTAAATCTGAGATCGAAATATTCCAGGTGTATTAAAAAAAAGTGCGTCCAGAATGTGTATAGTTTGTTACATCCGGGTGCATTCCTAGGTACATCTGGGTGCATTCCTAGGTAAATTATTTTTTTTCCGAGGTAAATTAATGTTTTTGTTTAATTTTCGCATTTTTTATGGCGTTTTCGCATTTTTAAGGGGTGCAACCCTAGGTACATCGGGGTGCAACCCTATGTACATCTGGGTGCATTCCTAGGTACATCTGGGTGCATTCCTAGGTAAACAAATTTTTTTTTTAATTTTTAAGGGGTGCAACCCTACATTTACATTTGGGTGCATTCCTTTTTTTTTAATTTTCGCATTTTTAATGGATTCCTAGGTAAATTAATTTTTTTAAATTTTCGCATTTTTAATAGGGTTTTCGCATTTTTAAGGGGTGCAACCCTAGGTAAATATGGGTGTATTCCTAGGTACATCTGGGTGCATTCCTAGGTAAATTCATTTTTTTTTAATTTTCGCATTTTTAAGGGGTGCAACCCTAGTTACATTTGGGTGCATTCCTAGGTAAATGATTTTTTTTAATTTTCTCATTTTTTAATGTTGTTTTCGCATTTTTAAGGGGTACATCTAAGTGCAACCCTAGGTACATCTGGGTGCAGTCCTAGGTACATCTGGGTGCATTCCTAAATAAATTAATTTTTTTAAATTTTCGCATTTTTTAATGGGTTTCTAGGTTTGCATTAATTTTTTATTTAATTTTCGCATTTTTTAATGGGGTTTTCGAATTTTTAAGGGGTGCAACCCTAGTTACATTTGGATGCATTCCTAGGTACATCTGGGTGCATTCCTAGGTAAATTAATTTTGATTTAAATTTTCGCATTTTTTAATGGGTTTATTTCGCATTTTTTAATGAATTCCTAGGTAAATTTTTTTTTTTAACTTTCGCATTTTTAAGGGGTGCAACCCTAGGTAAATATGGGTGTATTCCTAGGTACATCTGGGTGCATTCCAAGGTAAATAATTTTTTTTTTATTTTCGCATTTTTTTAATGGGGTTTTTGCATTTATAAGGGGTGCAACCCTAGGTACATCGGGGTGCAACCCTAGGTACATCTGGGTGCATTCCTAGGTACATCTGGGTGCATTCCTAGGTAAATTAATTTTTTTTAAATTAAATTTTTTCATTTTTAAGGGTTGCAACCCTAGTTACATTTGGGTGCATTCCTAGATACATCTGGGTGCATTCAATTTTTTTTAATTTTTTTTTAATTTTCAAATTTTTTAATAGGGTTTTCGCATTTTAAAGGGGTGCAACCCTAGGTACATCGGGGTGCAACCCTAAGTACATCTGGGTGCATTCCTCGGTAAATTAATTTTTTTTTTAATTTTCACATTTTTTAATGGGGTTTTTGCATTTTTAAGGGGTGCAAACCTAAAAGTGTTCGTCCAGAATGATACATGTTCCAGGTGCGTTAAAAAAGACACCGTCGAGAATCAGTCTCGATCATGCTTTTTTATCTAGCATGAAAATTGTGGGCGCCACAGTTTCGGGCGGTTTGTGGGCGTTAGAGTGGGCGTGGCATGCTGCTGAATTTCTACTCTAGCATCAAAACTGTAGGAGCCACAGTTTTGGGCGGTTTGTAGGCGTTAAAGTGGGCGTGGCATGCTGCTGAAACAAACTTGCGCTGCGTAAGAAGCTCAGAAAGCTGCATGCCAAATCTCAATAGCCTAGCTTTAATAGTTTCCGAGATCTCAGCGTTCATCCGGACGGACAGACAGACGGACATGGCTAGCTCGACTCGGCTAGTGATCTTGATCAAGAATGTATATACTTTATGGGGTCGGAAAAGCTTCCTTCTACCTTTTACATACTTTCCGACGAATCTAGTATACCCTTTTACTCTACGAGTAACGGGTATAAAAATCATAAGCAAGCAGAAAAGAACTAATAATGTGGGTATTTTCAATGCAATATTTAATTTTGATTCAATTGTAGGTTAATGCAATGGGCCATAAGATCCTTGTCTTCCTTCGACGGAAATAACCAGCCCAAGAACTCGACTAAAATTGGCTGCTGCTCGACGACAGTTGAGTAGTCCTCATATGAAATTACGCCGTCTTTGTCCAGGTCAAACTTTTTCATGAGAAACTCAGTCATGTCCTAAAAGAACCAATATTTAAATAAACTTTAATCTTGTTGTCTTAGGAAGTGCTCACCGCCTTAAGTTCGTTAAGCTCATCTTCGTCTTCACCGTAAAAAAATTTTTCGCAAGCTATACCAACTTGCTCTCGATCAATAACACCAGTTCCTTTTGTGTCATAGACCTATAAAAAACAAGGAAGAACGCTATAGTCGAGTACCTCGACTATCAAATACCCGTTACTCAGCTAATGGGACCAAAGGGAAATGGAGATATACAAGCAGCAACGCGAGATAGAAATGCGCCACCTACTCTCAATATGCGGTTATGTGTGCGGTAGACAGATTTAAGCGTTATGGGCGTTAGAGTGGGCGTGGCAAACTTTTTTTGAATCAGTCGATAGGTATTGACGAGACCAATACATTTTAGTTAAAATTTTGTATCTAGCATGAAAATTGTGGGCGCCACAGATTTGGGCGGTTTGTGGGCGTTAAAGTCGGCGTGGCAAACTTTTTGTAGGTCAATCGATAGGTATTGATGAGAACAATACATTTCAGTTGAAATTTATATTCTAGCATCAAAACAGTAGAAGCCACAGTTTTGGGCGGTTTTTGGGCGTTAGAGTAGGCGTGGCACATTGCTGAAACAAACTTGCGCTGCGCAGGAATCTCAGGAATCTGCATGCCTAATCCCAGTATTGTAGCTCCTATAGTTTCCGAGATCTCAGCGTTCATACGGACAGACGGACAGAAGGTCAAGAATATATATACTTTATGGGGTCGGAAACGCTTCATCTGCCTGTTACATACTCTCCGACGAATCTAGCATATAGGGTTACTCTACGAGTAACGAGTATAAAAAAAATGTACATGTGTTTCCTATGCAAGTGTGGGTAAGGTCCCATATACTGACCTCGAAGGCAAATTTCATGCGCACATGGATGTCCTTGGTTGTGTAGAGATCGAAGAGATGGATCCAGGCCTGGGGACTCACATACTTCGTATCCTTGGTGATGGCCAGCAGAGTGCGTTCAATTACCTGGACATTGGCAACGTTAAACAAAACCAAGAAGATCTGATAGAACTGCTTCTTGGTCATCTTCTTGCACTGAGGTCCATTGGCCTTAGAGAACTTGTAATAAACGACAAGCAAACAGGTGATATCCGTTTGAGACATCTCCGAAGTTGCGGCCAACTCCTTAATCAAACTTCCGTAAAGGGCCGCAAATCGACTGTTTTCCATGTTATCTATAGTGGCGTCTAGATTCTCCATTTCGTGGTTTTTGATTTTTTTTGTCTATAAATTCCTTTTTTTTTATTGTTTTTTATGTTTTTCCTTTGAGTTTTTTTGTAGTTTTGACCCTAGTACATTTCTTTATATCTTGTTTATGAATGACAACTATTTCGAAAGCCTTCTTAATCGAGCAAAAAACTATTTTACAAAAATAAAATCTATAAACAAATATAAATAAATGATGCCAATCATAACAGAATCAATTGTAACTATTGCTAATAGTAATCAATTAATCATTTGCCGTTCTAGGAAAGGAATTGGAATTGTTATTTAATTAAAGGTACTGAAACCCTTAAAAATTTAAGTAAGTTTGGCATACGCAAAATGTGCGATTGTCGAAAAGTTTTTGCATTTTTTATCAGGATTACCAGCCGTTTCGATCTATCCTTTTCCGTCTGTCCATATAGACGGTGATGTCTTGGGAGCCATAAAGGCTAGAAAATTTGAGAATCTTGGATGGCATGCGCAGCATCAGTTAATAGTAGCATTGAAATTATACTTGTCAATTCCTATAAATTCACGTTACAGTCAAATCGAACAATAACAAGGAGGAACGCTATAGTCGAGTACCTCGACTATCAGATACCCGTTACTCAGCTAAATGGAGATATGCAAGCAGCAAAGCGAGATTAAAATGCGCCACCTACCGGCGGTATACAGATTTAAGCGTTATGGGCGTTAGAGTGGGCGTGGCAAATTTTTTTGGATCAATCGATAGGTATTGACGAGACCAATACATTTCAGTTAAAATTTTTTATCTAGCATGCAAATTGTGGGCGTCACAGGTTTTTGCGGTTTGTGGGCGTTTAAGTGGGCGTGGCAAACTTTTTTTTTAGGTCAATCGATATGCATTGATGAAAACAATACATTTTAGCTAAAATTTTCTATCTAGCATCAAAACTGTAGGAGTTACAGTTTTGGGCGGTTTGTGGGCGTTAGAGTGGGCGTGGCAGTCTACTGAAACAAACTTGCGCTGCGTAAGAAGCTCAGGAATCTGCACGCCAAATCTCAATAGCCTAGCTCTCATAGTTTCCGAGATCTCAGCGTTCATCCGGACAGACGGACAGACGGACATGGCTAGATCGACTCGGCTAGTGATCCTGATCAAGAATATATATACTTTATGGGGTCGGAAACGCTTCCTTCTGCCTGTTACATACTTTCCGACGAATCTAGTATACCCTTTTACTCTACGAGTAACGGGTATAAAAATGTTACTAAGAAACTAAAGTTAGCCTTTGTATCAGTATTTATATTTATTTATATATATAGAAATTTTGAATATTTTTAAGAAAAACCAGTATATTATAACTCGGGATTACAATATTTAAGCATGGAGTCCATGTTAATAACATGAGCCATGAGATCCTTCTCTTCGTTCGACGGAAAGAGCCAACCCAAGAACTCAACCAAAACGGGCTGCTGGGAGACTACTGAGGAGTAGTCCTCAAAAGAAATGACTCCATCCTTGTCCACATCAAACTTCTTCATGATAAACTCAGTCATGTCCTGAAAGCAAGGCTTTAGTAACTCTTTAGTTTAAAATCACGACTTTAAATGCTCACCGCCCTGAGTTCAATAAGTTCATCCTCGTCGTCGCCTTCAATAAAGAATTTCTCGCATGCCACGCCCACCTGCTCGCGATCGATAACTCCAGTGTTCTTAGTGTCATATACCTAAAAATAGGGAAAACCTATATAGTTCCTAAATAAGTTTGATAATAATAACACTCACTTCGAAGGCGAAACGCATGCGCCTTTCAAGGTCCTCTGTTGTATAGAGCTCGAAGAGATCAACCCAGGCCTGGGGACTGACGAACTTCGTATCCTTCGTGATGGCCAGAAGGCTGCGTTCGATGACCTGGACATTGGCCACGTTGAAGAGCACCAGGTAGATCTGGTAGAACTGATGCTTCTTCATCTGCCTGGCTCCCGGTCCGTTGAACTTGACGAACTTGTAGTAGACGCACAGCAAACAGGTAATGTCCAAGGTCGACATTTTCGAATTGGCAGCTATCTCCTTGATCAGTCCGCCATAGAGTGCGGAAAAGCGGCTGTTCTCGGTGGTATTTATTGTGGAGTCCAGATTTTCCATGGTTCAGGTATTCTCTATGGGTGGCTTATGTAAAGTCTTTAAGTATAATTATTGATGACTTTCTGGTTAACTTCGGTTTCTATATGTTGGCTGGTGCTCGACGTGTCCTAATGTTTTTTTTGTATTTATCTGTTAGGGTTCAATGACATATGATGCCTTAGCCTGCTTTAATAAAATGTAAAACATTTATGGTTGCCTTTTTATGGGAATTAAAATGTTTAGAATTTTGTTTCCGCACAATTTGTCTTACTCAACAAATTTATGCCTTAAGTCTCTTCCAAACACCGTGGTAAGAATATATCAATCAAAACTCTATACCAAAATCCAGCCCAACTCTCCTGTAAATCCGCCAACACTTTGCGATGTCAACTTTGGAGACATTAAGGAGCGTGAAGCCTTGCCGCCCTTTCTTCTTTTTTGTAAGGCTCTTCCCTCTTATTTTATTGTTATTATGCCGTGTCGAGCGGTTCAGCCGCCTCCTCATTTCTTTGGTATTTTCGAGGGCGTGGCGCGTGTGAGTGTGTGGTGGGCGCCGGGGGGCGGGGGCATACAATTACACAACAAAAGGAGGGAGATTCCGAACATTTGTTACCCCAAACAAAATGGCTACACAGCCATTTCCGCCGAATTTCCACATGGAAGGCTTTACACCCATCTCAGCGCTTTTGTTTGGATTATTATATTCGCCTTTCTCATGCGCACAGCTTTCAGCTTTTGCCTCGGCCTTTGTGTGTTTCGGCAGGGTTCTTCAAATATTTATTCGAAATGGGGGACAGATGTAGTCCATGTAGCGTGCCTGATGTATTTTTTATGTCGCGGCGTTGTTTTATTGCTTTTAAATTGCGCTCGTTACATTCCCTGCGAGTCTTTGGGCTGCTGCTCCGGCTTACCCAATCTATTTGCAATTTGTCTTGCATAACCCACACACTTTTAAGTAGGCCTGGGCCCCACATGTTAATCATTTTCATCACACACCCAAAGCACACTCCCCACTAAACAACACTGAGTAAAAAAAAAAAAAAAAAAACAAAAACATAGTTATTGTTTATTAATTAAAGACAACCAAAACCACAATGAATCGCATCGACCTCACCCTGGATGACATGGCCAACACCAAGTTCCTTACGTTATATAACAGTATGATCAAGAGCTTCACCGCCTCCACGGAATTCTCTTCCAACGACGTGGTCAGCCTGCTGATCGTGTTCTACAAATACGCCCTCAACAACGGATCCCGCATGATGACCACCAACCAGCTCTACAATCTGTTCCTAGTCAGCTTTGGGATCTTCGACACAACCATCATCGACCGCGTTCTGATGAACATCACGCAGGACGGTCGTTCCGTTTCTCCAGAAGCCTGGATGCGACTGTTCTGCGTGTTCTTCACCGGAAATCTGCAGGAGCGAATGAAGTTTGCATTTGAGGTGGCTATTGTCTGGGACAATTGCATATTTTTTTGGTTATTTTAAGGGTTTGGTTGATTCTTAAACTATTTAAGGAATATAATGTTTTTTCTAAATTTTGTTATATCATAAATAGCTAAATCTTATAGTTTTTGTTCACATTTTTAATATCTAGTTCTAAAGCTTTTTAGAATACTTCAAAATTAATTAAGAAAACCTCTTTAAAGATTTATATTGTGTTATTGTGTTATATTGTGTTAACAAAAAGATAGGTAAAGGTGGAAATTTACCTATCTTTTTGTTAACTCGACTTGGATTTGATAATTATATTTACTATTATTTATGAAGACAGCTTAAAGCTTAATTGTATCCAATTTTCTGCTGACAGGCCATTTACTAAGTTCCCATGTCCACTATAGGTTTATACAAGTGCTGGTACAGTGGTTCTGAATCGTGAGGTGGTCGGCTTGGCCATTGAAAAATTCTTCTACGGCGATGACGATGATGAGGTCAATGAGCTCCGAGCGGTGAGTGTAAATATGAAATGATAGCCTTGAACTTAAGTTATTTTTCCGAGCAGGACATGTGCGAATTCTTGTTCGCCAAATTCGACACGGACAAGGATGGAGTTATAGCCTTTGAAGAGTATGCCGAGATTGTCCAAAACCAGCCTGGTCTGCTCGAGTTTTTGGGGAAAATATTTCCCGATGACAAGGACAGATCATTGGTGGCATACTGCCATAACATTGAGTCAATGTTTCCGCCGGAAGATGAATATTAAAAGAAAACGCTTTACTTTGTGGACAAAAAGTCGTTGTGTTTAGCATAATTTTATACATCCCCAACCTGCTTAGAGCAGATTCCATAAAATAGCGCAAGTGTTGAAAATTGGCGCTTAGAGGCTTGCAAGCCGGCTTACAATAAAGTCATTTTCCATTAAGTACACGCTGGGAAAAGTTGAAATTGCCTCCGCAGACTGCGAATGCCACTGCGGGCGCTTCTGTTTTGCTTCTTTTTTTTTTGGCGAAATCTGAGTCTTGTGTTCATGTTCAACTCCTTCCGAATGGATTTCAATGTTGTGTAGGCGGTGCGGGAACTTTTGTTTGTCTATTTTGCGGCTTTGTAGCGCAATTAAATTTGCGCAACATATGCGGGCTCCGGAGGCGAAACAAGGAAACTCTCAGAGTCAGCAAAATTCTAATTAAGTTCCCCCAAAAATTATGTCTATGGAGGTTGCAGATGAAAGGGAACGGATTTCATACATTTGTTGGTTAAATGTTAGTTTTACATGAAACAAATGTTCCCTGTCTAGGAAATCCACAGAAAAGTGGCAGATACCATAGGTCCTTCTTTACTATTAAAGATATCCAGGGTAAACCAAACTCTTTAAAAATCTCTTGGATTTCAAAGCTATCAAAGTCTTAAATAACCCGGAAACATTTATAAATATATAATTATTTTTATTTTGAATATTTGCAAAATTACACAATATTTTACGTTGCATGGACTACGGTAAGTAAAACGACATTAGGAATCTGATATTCCAAGGCCTTGTTCTCGGCAGAAGCACTTCTTGTCAGCTGGAATTTTGTGGCAGTTCTCCGACAGTTGGGTGAAATGTTTAAGAACATTTTCAGCACGAGACACTTGGGAAGTTTTACCCTGCGGTTGCCTTGCTTTGGCATTGGGCCCGCCACAGATTTCTATCCATCCATCAATTGCTGTGCGTGCGACGGGGCGTATGGGTAACATCGAAATCGAAAGCGCAGAACTGAAAGTTGGCCATCAAGTTGTGTGGGGCAATCAGCGAGATGCCAGAAATCGGATTGCCTGGGACAACAATTTGGTGACCCAGAGTCATTGACACGCCTCGTTTTCGGGGGCATTGGCTGGGCATTAAATTCAGCGCGTGACTTTCACCCCAGACATTTGTTGCTGGCCCGCCCCAGAAAATCCCGCACAAGCCCGGCCCGGGATAATGAAAAAGGGATCTGAAAAGGCTCAGCAGAAAGCATGAAAAGTGACCGCGACATCCAGCTGGCAGCTGCCCCACTCCTTTTTCAGTTATTTTATTTTACTTGTTCGCTGGAGTTCAGAGTTCGTCACGACTTTGCCACTTTGCTGCAAAAGGGTCCTTGGGTTGTTGTCCTTTTTTCAGCATTAACACGCGGCCTCCTGTTGCATTTCAGTTAAAACCACACCGCACCCTCCCCGCTTTTCCATTGGTTTTGTGCCTGGAGTGTGTTCTCAGCGAAAAAACAATGCCGTAGAACAAAAACGCAGAAGGGCAGCAACAAATTGGGTAAAACAAACATGCTCCCCACATTTGTATTCCAGAACGATGTATCCTGCTGTTATCCTTTCGCGTTCGTCAGTCCATTTATCGCAGCCAAACTTTTGACTGGCAACGGTTCGGTTTCCTTTTCGCATTTTTTCCCTGCCTGCAGTAAATCTTGCAGTGCAACCAGTTGGCATTTTTATGAAGTTATACCACAAACTCAGCTGCATTCCATCCGCCGACGCCCAGTGCATTAACACATGCCAGATGAAAATGTGCATTTTCCAAATGAAATGACCGCCACCAGTGTGCGGAGGAGGCGCCAAAAAAATGAGCGACTTTTTACCATCACAATGCTCTGGCGGATACAAATATGATTAACCGCCGCTATTAAGGCATCAATTTATGCTTTTTATATGCGGTATAAAATTCCAGACACAATATTCCATACACAATCGATTTATGGAGTTCAGGTAAGTGCTTGAAAATGATTCCCTTAAGGACAAAAAGGGAATCTTAAAAAAAGCATCTTGTATTTTAAATTACTTGGAATCAATTGTAAAATAATTTCTTTTAAATGCCTTAAATTAGTTTAGCTAAGCAGGTAAATGTATTCCTTACCATCAAATTTGAGGACATCTTGCTTTTCACTTTACTTAAAACCAATTGTAAAATATTTATTTATAAAGTAGAACATAGGAAAAGCCTGCTCTCCATTCAAAATTCTTAAAATTAGCTTTATACTATATTTTGCATTAGCGATTTGATATGAAAACAAACAATTCGAGCAGAAAGATAAAAATCATAATGCAAACAAATTGCCTTTTTAGGATTCAAAGTGCCGCCAGGGGCAGGTTTAATGCGTTTATGCCTCGGGCAAATCTGCGCCTCAAAAGGAAGAGGAAAATGCGCATTCTGCCTTTGCTTTTTACGATAACGATAACAATGATAATAATAATCCGATTCGCATAACATCGGGCGATATGGGGGTGAGAGACCGGAATGCCGAGGCAGGAGTGCCAGGCGACTTGGAATCGGTTTGATTGTCACATTGTCATCATCTGCATATTAAGTACAAGTGATTACACCCTCGCACTCGGGAGATACAGGGATAGAAACAGATATACAGGTGAGCACATGTCCTTGGTCCTCGGGATGATGTGTGCTGCATTGGAAATTCGGCATTTAAATCCAACCAAGCGGCAGGGAATAAGAAAAACCCCGAGCACATTGCGCGCACGGAGCACAAAAGCCAAATATCTACGAGATACATATGTATCTTTTGTTAACGAGCACGAATCGGAGCAAATGTAAATGTTTTCCAATGTGTTTAGGGGGTGAATACGGGATGGGATCCCAACACGTTTGACACGGCGGCAAGGAGAAATCAAATCAAATCGGTTTTTGGGCGAGAAAGGAAATCGGAAACGGATTCCATTTCAGGC